TGTTTTTTTACTTCATATAATTTGTACTTACAGTTTTTTCTCTTGGGCTTTGGAGGATATTTCCGACCTTTTTGAACATTACGTTGTATTCGTAGTGTGCAACATTTTCCATTTATGTGCCGCTGATCCTTCTTCTCATCTTCATCCTCAAAGTCATCATCGTCGTCATCATCATCTACTTCTGATTCTGATTCTGAATCTAAATCACTTCCGTCTGAAGAGCAGTCACAATAAACAAGTCTTTTGTGTTTTCCTTGGAATGGTCTAGGTCCAATAATTGATGGTAATTTCCACACACTCTTTTTATTGTCTTCAAGTTGAATCCTCCTAACGTCTCTCTTAAAAGTCTTGTCAATTGAGTTGGCATGATTCTTTTTAAGAAAATTAACTTTCTTTATAAAGCCTTCTACGATCTCTTTTTGACGTTCGCGGTGTAAATTAAGTTCCTTTTTAAATGCTTTAAATATATCATCGAGTGAATCACTAAGATTTTCTTTCAATTTCCGACCCATATTTTATTCCGAAATATATAATACACTATAATTTGGATATAGAATTCTTTAGTTGTTGGCAGAGAAAAAATTAGAAACTGGCTTTAGTTGTAAAATATTTGAAATGAATTGAAATAAAAATTTGTTTAAGTTGAAATAAAAACACGCCTGCTTTATAAAATTATTTGAAAGTAGAAAAAATTCCAGAACGAGTTAACTTCGGATGATCATAATAGACATATATAAGATTTTAATAGGAAATTTCTTGCTTAAAACATAATAAGTGCGTGTCTTGTGTTAGGTGCATGTAGAAAACACTAGCTGATATTCTTATATTTAAAAAAAGGCCTCAACATCATGGCATACTAAATTGAGGTCATATTAGTGACGAAATAATTCTCCAGCTATCATCTACACAAATGTTCCGTATTTTATTTTGCTTTTATATATAAAGGTAATAAAATAACAATTTATTTATATTTTTTAAAAATTAACGTTTTTAAAATAATTTGAAAAACTATTCGTTAAAGACAAATTCGAAAACCTTATCATAGAAACAGTACCAAAAACAAGAAAAATTGCTTGCTAAAAGCATTAAAAATGTTTATAGTGCTTGCTTTGTTAAGTGAAAGCGCTAGTTAGCATGGACAGTATCGTTGAAAGGAAAATAATGGCAGTGCTAGCGAACTGCACTAAAAATGGTGACGGAATTAGTAAAATTAAGAATTGGGCTTCATTAGAGTTGAACTTTGTAAGTTGTAAGTTAAGTTACATAAAAATTTTTAATATTGAAGTTATTTTTTTGATTAACTTTACTTTGTATTATAATTTTTTGTGAGTAAATGTAATTTATGTTAAAAAGTACTTACTATGGAAACTAAAAAAATGCTAAAAACTTTTTATGCAGTCTATTATATTTCTTTGGGTATGTTTAGGACAATTTATTGTTTAAAGAATATAAGATATTATTTTTAATGTGATATATCGTATCTGGCTGCACTATATATAAATTCACACTTCCTTTAGTGAATTGTATAGCGACAGCTTGTTTTTTGGGGAAGGGGGGTTGGACAGAATTAAGTGTACAAAATATCTAAAATATTTATTAATAATGTGTAGTTTTTTTTTTTAAAGAAATTTACTACCTATGAACTGCAAAAGTTTTTAAGTTGACATAAATTATTGTGTCGAACAAATTACGAAATATTTTTGTTCATTTTTAAACGGCAGCCCCATTCGGTTTTCCTCCTCCGACTCAACAAATTACGTATAAAAAAATAATGGCTTCCACATTACAAGTATTTTTTTTAGTTTTTAAATAAGAAAATGTAGTAATGAAGCTATAAAACAATAAAACCGTAAAATAAGATACAAAAGGCAAAATTGACTTACTTATGTCAAAAATTTTAATTATGAGAATTGCTCCCTTGCGAAGGAAGTAGCGATTAAAAATTGAATTATTTCACGCCAATTGGTAAAAAATGTAAGGCATATGCATTTCGCTTAATTTAAATTCATAAAGTTTAACTGCTCCTGCTTCATTTTAAGAAACAAATATGCAATTTGTTGAAAAAAAAATGGGGCGAAAAAATAAGAATAAGTAAGCGTACAGGACCGGCAACAAAATGGAATGAAAATGGAAATCTGTTGGTGGCAGTTATCGTTGCAGTAAAAGTTTTTGTCCGAGATAAAGAAACATTTCCGCAGATAATTAATTGCAGCATGAAAACTCAGAGCTTTCCTTTCGCTTTATTTTCTTACATAAAGAAAAGGAAATGTGCAAGAGAAAGCAAGAATGAATACAAACAAACGAATATTCCGATTGCATAAATGACTACTTGGGGAAAATGCTAACAAGGCATTTCCATTACTTGCAGTTCGAGTCCATACCGTAAATGGATCTTTCAATTAAAATCGTAAATATTTACATGCAGAACAACAAAAGTGGCATGAAATGACCAATACTCGGAAATGTCCCAAAATTTTGGGTATGTGGTCTTAATTTATAGTCTTAAGACATCTTAAGACATTTAACTTGATAATTAGTTCTTCATATGCCTCCCCTCTTCAGTTCAGCTTTACAGATATAAAAGTTGACAGACTTTTTAATTTTCCTCTATAATAAATATTTTACAAAAAGTATTTAAGTTTTGGAATGATAACACTGGGATGTCCTTTATAGAGGAGAAAATGGTTTCACGAAATCTCAAAAAACTTGTGTTCAAAATTTAGTAACTCTTACTCTTCGGTAAGCAACTAAAATCTGATAAAAATTTGTTTTTGAAGTACTATTCTAATGGTTATCACAACGGGCTATAGTTATCTCTTAGATGATGTGTAGATGTTCTTATCAAAAATCATATATAAATGTATTACTGAAATACAAGGGTAAAGATCATCATTTTATATATAGGTATTCCTCTCAACATCAACACACGTTCTTCCAAACTACCCTAACATAACCTACTATAATAGATTTGTGAAATATTTCAGTTATATTTATTTATTTATTGTTTATTATTTATTTTAGTGACATATGTTGAACGAGACTGTCATTTACAAGCCACTATCGAAAGATTATTGCATTCCAGATCAGTTGAATATATATTCGTTTACAAAGAGCAAGAGGAGAACTAAATCATTCAATTTTTTTCTTTTGCTCGTGCTTTTCTAAATTAGTTTGCAAGGTTCATTAACGGTAATACTTTTTGATTATCGTTGTTCCAAAGTATACTATAAGAATAATCTAGGAGGGTATTTCATGGATTCAAGACTAGGACTTATAGGCTTTATATTGTCTTTCATTAAAGAAATCGGACTTGGAGAAACACTCTAACTTTACTAAGCGACACAATTAGTCGTTTAGGTCACAGTGCACTACCTCTTTTTAAATAATAATAATATTAAAGTAAATGACGGATTGGAAGTAGTGACTTATCATTAGTTTTAATTCAAGAAGTTTTTAAGTCTTTTCCTTCACTGAATTTTGTTTCTCGATTTATTGCACTTAAATTTTTAATGTTGACCATTGTTTGATGAACAGTCGAGTCAGCAGCAAATGCCTCTGAAGTAAGCTGTACTGCATTATGCGTTGCAGGAGCACAAATTATGGACAACATTTAAATTGAGTCATTTGTGTCCTTTTGCTTACCCATACGTCCGTTTTGTCTGAATCTTTCTTAACTTTT